CAGCTCGGGGTCCCATACGACGAAGACGACCGCCGCAGTTTGGTGCAAGATGCACCTGAAGACATCTTCCTTTGTTGCCACCTTCGTGATGACCACCACGTTGAACACCAAAGCGATGGTGGACGGAACCCGATTGCCGTCTTCTGTACGAAGGAATCCTTCGTTCCACTTGGGGCGTTCCCCAAAGTAGTTTATCCCTGGAGGGGACCTGGTCCGCTGCTTCTTCCGCGGTGCTCCCGCATCTTCCCGCAACTGCGGTTCCGACGGAGGCCCCGCGCGACCCCGCGACTGCGGTTCTGACAGCGGCGAGTCTTCCGTGGGAGGCGGCCTTTTCCTCGGCCGCGAATCGGCCGAGGCGGTTGTCTCGGCGGCTTTCTCCTGGGAGGCGGCCTCGTCTTCGGGTTGGGCGCCTCGTTTGGACTCGGCTGCGAGCAGCACGGCCGAGGGCGCGCTGCTCCCAGATGAGCCGCGCGCGGCACCTGGCTCGCCGGCCACCCCCGCAACTGCGGTCTCGGTGGCGGCTCCCGTCACTGCTGGTTGGTCCTGCTGCTTCGTCGGCGTCTGCGCCCGAGGCCCCCATTTTGCCTTGGGGGTCAAGTGCGCCCTGCGCAACTGCGCCTCTTCGCGCCTCCCACCAGCAGAGCTCCCACTCGCAGCGCTTATCGGCGGCGGCGGCCGATATTCCCGCGAGGAGCTAGACGACTGCGGGGAGGCCTCGCGCGGCGGTCGCTCGGGGCTTCCGCTACTGCGGTCCTCCGTCGGCTCCGCGACTGCGGCATCCGCGGCAGCCCCTTGCAGGCCGAACCTTTCCCGCAGTTGCTGCTTCAGCTCGGCGAACCGCTTGTCGACCTCGGCTTTGCGACCTGGGTCCATGGCGTGGCCGCGCGCGGCCCCCGTCCGACGGGGGAACTGCGGCCGGCTTGGGAGAGGAAGGGCAACGAGGGAGACGGCGGGGATGAGGACGAGGAAGGCGAAGAGGAGGATGGAGAGGACGCGACGGAAGAGGATGGCGCGAAGAGCTCAGACGAGGGTGAAAGGAGCAAGGGGACTGCGACGAGGATGACGGGGCAGAAACGGAGGAGGAGGAATCAACAAAGTCCGCAACTGCGGCCCTCGGGGGGGACTGCGACGAGGACGACGGGAAATGACTCGGCCAACGGAGGCGGGCTACGGCCAACGGAAGGAACTGCGACGAGGAGGAAAGGCGGAGGGAGGAGACTGCGACGAGGACGACGGGGAAGGGGCGACGAGGACGACGAACAACTGCGGATCCATCTGTTTAAGTACCTGTCTCCGCAACTGCGGCCGCGCTAATTAACGTCACGAGTGCTTCAACGGAGGTGATGCGCGCCCGAAGCACCTAATTACAGCGGTCAGTCGTGGGAGCGCCGCAACTGCGGCCAAGCTGTATGAAGTCGCTAGAAGGCAGCGCCGCAACTGCGGCCGAAAGCGCGCATAGTGAGTCAAACGAGCGCGGCGTCACGCGATCGGTCCCCGCAACTGCGGTTCCATGGCTGCGCAATCCCGCAACTGCGGTGTCAAGGCTGCGCGGACCACCGCGGTTGCAGCTGCGCCCCCTTGCTCGCGTCGAACCGCCCAGGATTCGGATGGGCGTGCAGCATCTTCCAGAACGTGAACGTTCCGTGGCCATCGCTCTTGCCGAGACCTGCCCTCGGGCCCCGCACGGGATGCGAGTGCGGCTCCACCTCATACGTGTTGAACTTCGGGCTAGACCAGGATGGGTGGACGCGAATGCCCGAGCCGTCGTCGCGGATGAGGACGAAATCCCACTGGGGCAGAGGGATTCTTTGCGCCTGTCCTCTGTCCACCCCTTTCGTGTGCCTCATGTTGTCGAGACTGCTAGGGCACGGGCGGCACTCGCAGCGGACCAACCCGCGACTGCGGTCATTGTCAGGGCCGCACACGACGCGCAGCATTGTAGGTCCATCCATCTGCGCGACCATCTCCAGCCAAGACCACGGCACTTTGACAGTGTGGTCCCAGTCCCAATCCCTGTTGTCCTGCGCCTTCCCCTTTGCGCGGTACTTAAGGATCTTCGAAATTTCCTCCGCAACTGCGGTACCTCCGAAGACGGGCGTGCGGCTGCCGAAAGGGTTTTCTCGGTCTTCGTACTCGTCTCGGAACCACTTCAAGGCCGCGTTGTGCTGCTTATAATTGCCGTTCCAGTTCGCCCTGAAGTTCTCGAAGAATTCCAACTTGAAAATTGGCAGCGGCTCATTGCGCACAATTTGAAACAGCGCAACTGCGCCTTGTTCTTCGCGCCCTGGGGGAAGCAGGGGACCGCCTCCTTTGCCCGCCGCTGTTGCGGCCGCGGGCTCCGCGGCAGGAGAACCTGCCGAGGCACTCGAGCGGCCACCTTCCCATGCATTCCACCAGCCACCCTCGTCGTCCCACCAGCGGGCGCCCTCCATTCCCCAACCCTCGCATCCGTTGCCGCCCCATCCGCCGCCCTCCCATCCGCGACTGCGGTCACTTCCGTCGCCGCCATCCTGCGCTTTTCCTCTCCATCCGCCAAGAGAATCTCCGCCGCCCCAGCCGCCACTGCGGTCACCTCCGCCGCCGTATCCGCCACTGCGGCCGCCCCAACCCCCACTTGTTCCCCAACCGCCGCCGCTGCTCTTTGAAGAATCCGCAACTGCGGCCCGTGTTTCCTCTTCCGCTTTGTCATCCCACCCTGCACGCATCTCTGCCCCGACTGCCGGCCGCGGAGGCGGGCGCGAGCCCGCCCAACCGCCGTGAAACCTACCGTCGGCGCGGGCTTGAGCCGAACGTGCATGGAGGAGGAGGATGAGGAGGAGGAGGGTGAATGTGAGGAGGATGATGCGTTCCTGGGAGGTGTGCCTTCGCGTGCAACACAAGAGCCCTGAGAATTCCTGAGGCCCCTCCAACAGCCAAGGACGCGGATGACAAGAAAGTCGAGAAGATTGGGAACCGATTGAGGATTAAGAGGCGTGCGACGAAAGGGATGATGATGACGAAGAGGAAGATCAGTGAAGGGGAGGAGCGGACAGGAATTATGGAGGAGTGATAGCAGAGGAGGAAGAGGGGGAAGGGGGAGGAGGAGGAGGAGGAGGAGGAGGGAGAGGAAAAGGGGGAGGAGGAGGAGGAAGAAGGGGAGGAGGAGGAGGAGGAGGAGGAGGAGGAGGAGGAGGAGAGGAGGAGGAGGAGGAGGAGGAGGAAGAGGAGGAGGACGACGACGACGAGGAGGAGGAGGAGGAGGAGAGGGAGAAGGAGAACGGGGACAGGAGGACAAGGACGGAGAAATATAACAAATGAGGGGGAGGAGGCGGAGGAGGAGGAGGACGAGGAGGAGAAGCAGGAAGAGGAGGAGGAGAGGGGGGAGGAAGAGTGCGCGTGAGACTGGGAGAACGAGGTAATTAATTAGAGAGGGAACGGGGGAGGAGGGAGGACAAGGAAGAGCATACAGCGACGAGAAGAGGAGAAGGAACAGACGAAGGCTCCTGCTGATCGCATTTCCGCATCGTTCAAAGCAGTGCCGGGGCACTGCTTTGAACGACTGGTGATGTTCAAAGCAGTTCCCCGGCACTGTGTTCCATCGTCGCCGTTATAAGGGCTATTGGATTAGCCACATGGGGCACTTGTAGGGGAACGAAAAATCACATGAACATAAAAACTCGGACGTCCGCGCGGAAGTCTTGGATCCGCGCTGGACCCCCCTCCCTGACGCGCGGAGCGCGCCAGGGGCGGCGCCGGAGGCGCCGCCAGGGCGCCCCAGCGCCGATCCGAGAAATCCGCGCGGACCTCCGAGTGAATATGTTTGTGTTCTTGCTCGTTCCCCTAACTTGTGGCCCACTCACAAGCTAGGTTCGGCCAGGTATAGCGCAACCTGGCATCCACTGAGAACCCACGATCCCCAGCGCCGATCCCGCTGGGGCAGGAAAGCCCAGAATCGAATCGATAAGTCGAATCGGCGGTCGAAACGAATCGGATCGGCGGAAATCGACAGCGCCAGGTCGGGAGGAGTCGAATCGGCGGAAATCAGCAGAGTAATAAGGCACCACTGGGAAATCGGCATCCAAATCGGAATCCGAAGTCGAATCGCATCGGAATCGGGATCCATCGAAGTCGAATCGAATCGGATCGAAGGAATCGAAGCGAGCCCTGCACTGGGGCCCTCCACGGGACCCCCCCGCTACCGTCCAGAAGCGGCTCGGCGTGAGGAGCCGGTCCTGAGGACAGCCTCCAGGTGTACCGTCGGGGCGTTGACCCAAGGAACACGAAATAGGGAACGAGGCCAGTTTTTCTTCCATGAGTTACATGTGGACTTCCCATCGAAAACCTGAGGTAAACTGCGCAACCATTAAGGGACACTGAGCCCCTCCCCAACGCAAAGAGCTCCTTCTTCAGCGCCCCGACTGTAGAACCCGCTCCCCTCAGGACTCGTCTCTGCCACGGCCAGATCCGCTTCAGGGCCCCTCGTTGGGAGGCGAGCGAGGGAGGGAAGTGAAGAAGGAGTGGGCCTTCTCAGCAGTAGGCGGCGGCTCTGAGAAGCTTTCTGTGTCTTCGGGGGAGGCTTCGAAACCTTCTACGAAGGCCGTTGTGCTTCCGAGCCTTCTGAGAAAGCCCGCCCCTCCTCCTGAGCAGGGACCGACCGTCCCGGCACTCCTATACGCCTACCACGAAATCTTCTGAGAACCCAGACATGTTCCAAGAACAACAACAGTGTTCTTAGAACACAGACCCGATGCGTCAAAACAAGACAGTCTCAGCCAGAACGGTTCTAAGAACATGCCGTGCAGACAACGAAAGGTTCTTAGATCATCATCTGGTTATCTGGAGGGCCTACAGGCCAGCAAAAACGCTTCGCCACTGCTTGATCCTCACGCCGACTCGTGGCCAGGGTCCGCGCCAGCTGCGCTCGCCGGCTGCCTCTCGGGGCGCGCCGGCCCCAGCTGCAGCCAGGCCTGGGAAAATGCCCCCCCCCCCCCCCGGGGGCCCAGAGCAGGAGGCCGGGGCTGTCCTGCGAGTCGGCGATGGTCTCCTCGTTCTTCTCCTTCTCCGTCTTGCGGAGCTCGGTGGCCTCCGCCATGGCCTCCGCGGCGGAGAGGGCGGAGCGGCCGCCGCCGTCGTCGGCGTCGGCGTCGACGTCAGCGTCACGGCGCGTCGTCGTCGTCGTCGTCGTCGCTGTCGTCGTCGTCATCGTCGTCATCGCCGGCGTGGGGTGGCGTGGCGTGGCGTGGCGTGGCGTGGCGTGGCGTGGCGTGCGGTGCCGTCCGTGGCGTGCGGTGCCGCAGTCATTGTCGTCGTGCCGCGGCCGCGGCCGCCGTCGTCGCCGTCTGGCCACCACCCGCTCAGAGACGGTCGGCCCCGCGGGCCCCTCCTCGGGTGAGAATAAATCGGGTGAGGATAGATCGAGAATCTCTGGGATCCCGCGACTCTGGAGGATGTCTCGGGCGCCGCGGCCTCCTCGGAACGCTGAACGCCCTGAGAGCGTTCCGGAACGCTCTGGAACGGATGCGTCCTCGTCCTAGCCCCGCCTGACACGGGCCTGGGCCGGCGCCCCACGCACTCTATAGGGGCCCGCGGCGGCGAACAACCCGCGTGCCCCCTGCTGGGAGGATAGGTCGCCTCCTCCTCCCCCATCCGCCTCCTCATGCCTCCTCATCCTCCCCCTCCCGCCTTCACCTCACCTCCCCCCCCCTCCCCTTCGTCCCCCTCCTCCCCCTTCCCCCCGCCTCCTCCTCCTCGCCCTTCCTCTTCATCCATATCCTCCTTCTCCTCCTCCTCCTCCTTCTTCTCCTCCTCCTGCTCCTCGTCAACATCATCATAATGCCTCCTCCTCCTTCCCCTCCTCCTCCTCCTCCTTCTCCTACTCCTCCACCTCCTCCTCACCTCATGCTTCCCTCCCGCCCGTCATCCTCCCGCTGCTCCACCCCACATCATTCTTCTCCTCCGACGACGTCGACGACGACGACACCGACGACGACGGCGACGACGACGGCGGCGGCGGCGGCGGCGACGACGACGACGTACGATTTCGACGACGACGACGACGACGACGGCGGCGGCGGAAGAGGCGTCAGCGGCGGCGGCGACGGCGACGACGACGACAGCGGCGACGACGACGGACGAAGGCGACGACGACGACGACGACAACAACGGACGAAGGCGACGGCGATGGCGATGGCGATGGCATTGGCGGCGGCGGAAGCAGCGACGAAGACGACGACAACGACGTCGTCGTCGACGACGATTACGACGATGACGACGACGACGACGACGACGACGACGACGACGACGACGACGACGGCGGTGGCGGCGGCGGCGGCGGCAGCGACCCCAAAAATCTTGACCCCCTCCCAGGAGGTAACGCTTCATCCCAGGTCCACTTTTGACGGCCTCGAGGACCGCTAAGGGCCCCCCGAGTCCGAGATTGGCCAAGGGCCTCGATAGATCAGAACTCGACCCGTACCTCGACCGATCGACGACAGCGGCGCCGACGTTGTTGACGGCAACGGTGAGGCCGACGCCGACGGCCCGCCGCCGCGCGCGCGCCTTGTCGAGGTCCGCGATGGCCGCCACGAGCTCGGCGATCTCCTCCGTCTCCTTGGCGATGGATGCCTCGTCGTGCAGGGTGCGGCGGCGCCGAGAAAGGCGGAGGCCGGCGGCGACTCGAGGAGGCAGAAGGCGGAGAGGCAGGGAGGACGAGGAGGACGAGGAGAAGAAGGAGCAGGAGGAGGAGGATGCCAAGGAGGATGCCAAGGAGGCCGAGGAGGCCAGGCCGAGGAGTGAGGGAGGGAGGGGAGGGGGAGTGAGGGGAGGAGGGTCGGGGGAGGGGAGGGGAGGGGGAGAGGGGAGGGAGAAGCAAGGGGGGAGGGAGGAGGGGGTGGAGACGGGGGGAATATTTGAGTATGTGGCTTCTGCATGATGGGTTTCCCTTGTTCTCTTGTGTTGCTTCTCTCTCTCTCTCTCTCTGGGCATGTTGGCCTGACGTGTGGTCGCACGCCCAGGCCAGGAACCCGGCCCCCCGACCGCTGTCTTGGCAGCAATCCTGGACGGGTCGCTCACTTGCCTCCTCCACCTCCTCCTCCTCATCCCTCCTCCTCCTCCTCCTTCTCCTCCATCTGCTCCTCGTCCTCCTCCTCCTCCACCTCCTCCTCACTGATACTCATCCCCCATGCATACTCCTCTCCTCCTCCTCCTCCTCCTCTTCCTCCTCCTCTTCTCCTCCTCCTCCCCTCCTCCTCCTCCTCCTTCTCCTGCTCCTCCTCCTGTTCCACCTTCTTATCCATCTTCTCCTACTCCTTCTTGTTCCTCTCTCCTCGTCCTCGTGCTCCCCTCTCCTCCTCTCTTCCATCCTCCTCCCCCTCGTCCTCGTCGCCGTCGTCGTCGTCGTGGTCGCCTCTGCCTCCGCAGTCGCCGTCAACGACGTCGTCGACCCCTCGTCGCTAAAAGCCGCCCGCCCACTCGACGACCCCAGGGCCGCGCTCGGGCCAGGACTCCGAGGCGACCTTGGCATGGGGACCAGGTTCCCCCACGAGAGGCTCCGAGGCTCGTCCCAATAGAAGCACACCCAAACGGGCGCGGACGTCGCCACGAAACGTGTCAGGGGTGTGCCAACATGTGCGGTGGGGGACCGCATGCGAACACCGCCACTGGGGCCTTCGGTAGAGCACCCTATTGGGCCACGAATCGTGCGAGAGGTGTGCCGAAGTGGGTGCGGACGCATGCGAGCACCGCCATTGGGGACTTCGGTCGGCGCCAGCGTGTGTACAGGCGGCGGGGTCGCGTCGACCGTCGCCGCCTGGCGTCGCCATCACCGCCGCCGCCCTCGACGACGACGACGCTAGCATCGTGGTCGCCGCCGTCGTCGCCGTAGCGGCTGCCGCCGCAGACTGCAATGGCAGCGTCGTAGCGTAGGGGGGCGGCATCGCCGACAGCTCGTCGATCTCGGCGTGCAGCATCGTCACCTAGGGCGCCGGCGGAGGTCGCCCAGGGTTGCGGCTAGCCCGTGCCGTGGCGGCCCGCCCGCATGGCGGAGCTATCTGCGGCAGGCTCTGCCGCGGCTGCGGCCCGCCCCGCCGACTACAGTCGGACCCAGGCCAGAAGAGAATCCCTCAGGAACATGAGACCCTCCGTCGGCCAAAACAAGCAGAGCATCCAAGGGTACCCTCCCCAGGGTGCACGAGAACATCCAACAAACACGACGAATACCAGGGTACCCTCCTCGAACCGACCTCGATCTTATACCTCGATCCGACCGCACTTCAACAAAAAACAGCCACTGGGGAACTCGACCACTACCCAGGGCCAGCTTCTCACCCCGAGTCGTTGCGTGACGGTCCCAGGGCCTGGAAACCGCCTGCAGGGGGCGAAGACGGCGAAACACTGGCCGTCAGTGGGGAAGTCAAAAGATACTGATACCGGTACTCCCCAGACCTCTCCGGGGGTGCGTTCTGACCAAGCTTTCGAAGCGCCTCCGGCGGTGGAGACAAGGGCCTCCCAGGAGGCGGAAAAAGGGAAAACGAAAGAAGGGTAGCGATATGGGTACCGTTCCCTCTTCTGAGTCCGGATATCTGCTGCAACGCCCCGATCCGAGGGTCCGCCAACTTGGGAGACAGCGACACGGCGATAGGGCGAGCCCAGCGCCGCAGCAGCGCTGCGGAGGTGGCCGCGCTGGTGGGGGAACCCCGAACAGGCCGCCACGTGCGCGCGGGGCCGACGGGGCAGCCCGGAAGGACCGTTGGGTCTCGGAATATGTATATATGTGTATGTATACACATACATACATACATACATACATACATACATACATACATACATACATACATACATACGTACGTACATACATACATACATACATACATGCCTGCCTGCCTGCCTGCCTGCCTACCTACCTACCTACCTACATACATACATACATACATGCATACGTACATACGTACGCACAAACACACATACATACATACATACATACATACATACATACATACATACATACAGACAGACAGACAGACAGACAGACAGACAGACAGACAGACAGACATACAGACATACAGACATACAGACATACAGACATACAGACATACAGACATACAGACATACAGACATACAGACATACAGACATACTACATACCTACATACCTACCTACCTACCTACCTACCTACCTACATCCATATACATACATACATACATACATACATACATACATACATACATACATACATACATACACAAATACATACATACATACATACATACATACATACATACATACATACATACATACATACATACACAATACATACATACATACATACATACATACATACATACATGCATACATACATACATACATGCATGCATGCATGCATGCATGCATACATACATACATACATACATATATAGATAGATAGATAGGTAGGTAGGTAGGTAGGTAGATAGATAGATAGATAGATATATATAGATAGATAGATATATAGATAGATAGATACATATATGTATAAATAAAAAAGTTCCGACATGTGAACGACGATCAGACACGGGTATTACGTGAGATGGCATATCGACATTACGCCACAGCTTACGCAGGCCGCTTGCGCGGCACGCTGCATTGGAGGCGAGGGCGCTCACGCGCGACCTTGCGCGGGCAGCTTACGTGCCAACGTCGGGGCAGACGGCCCCCCTTTCTTCCGCCGCTCACATGACCGAGGGGGCGGGTCTGGGTCTGGGCCGGTGCTTAGTGAATCTGCTGCTACCAGTCGCGCAGGCAGTCTGGGGGTGGGGCGGGTGCTGACCAGTAGCCCAAAGCATCCGCAGAAAGCAGCCGAGATCTGGACTATGGGGGGAGGGGGGCGAGCCCGCGCCGATCGGCGGAACAATCGATCCGCCGACCCCAGAAGCGTGTGCGACGTCTCCGTTTTCCTTGACACTGCGCTGGTTGGGACCCCCCACCCGACATCATCTGGCTTGAAACCCACCGATATCCCCCACCAAGTCCCCTTCCTCGCCCCGGAATCCCCAGCCCCCAACCGCGCTCCCCACCTCGCCCCGGCACCCCCAGCTCCGGGAGCTCTGTTTTTGAGACCCCCCACCCGACATGTTGCAGCCTGAACCCCACCGATAGTCCCCACCGCCCCCCACCTCGCTCCAGCATCCCACCAGGTCTTCACCTTGCTCACCCCCTGCCCACATCCTGGGAGCTCTGGTCTTGAACCCCCCACCCGACTATTTTTCGCCCAAAACCGACCCTGACCTCCCACCAGGTGTTCACCGTGCCCAGCCCCCGCCACACCCTGGAAGCTCTGTTCGTAGGACTTCCCACCCGACAATTATTCGACTGGAACCGACCCTGACACCCCCACCCAGGTCTGGGAGCCAACCCTGACGCCCCACCAGATCTCTACCTCGCCCGACCCCCCCCCACACACACGCTGGGAATGTTGTTCTTGGGAACCCCGACCCGACAATTTCTCGCCCGGAATCGACCCTGACCCCCCAACAGGTCTCCACCTCACCCGACCCCTCCCCGCTCCCTCGGAAACATTGTTCTTGGGACTCCCCCACGTGACAATTTCTCGCCCCCACCAGGTCTCCGCCTCGCCCGACCCCTCCCCACTCCCTGGGAGCTGGACTGGCACGGTGGCGGGACTTGCCGCAGGCAGCTGGATACCGAAACGAGTCCATCGAACTGCCGCAGCCCAAGGCCCAGGGCCCAAGAACATGACGAAGCCGGCCCCAGATACAAAAGAATGTCCCAGGGGGAGAAGGGATCAAGAGCTCCAACGCCGACGCCGACGCCAGCGACGACACCGACGACATCAACGACGACGACTTCGACGACGACGGCGACGGCGGCCCCGACGCCGACGCCGACACCGACAACAACGCCGACATCGTCACCTTCACAAACGACGCCCCAGACTAGGCTGACGCCGCCGCCTTGGGTCTTCGACAATGCTGATGCAGACCCACCTTCGACTATGACAACGACGCCGCCACCTTCGACGACCACGACACCGCCGGCGACGATGCCGCCGTCTTGAACGCCGCCGCCGTCACCGCGAACAACGACATCGACGATACCCCCGCCGCCGCCGTCGACGCCGCCGACGCCTCAGAGGACGACTTAGACGACGACGCCGACGACGAAGACGACGAAGACGACGACGACGACGACTCAGACGACGACGACGACGACTCAGACGACGACGACGACTCAGACGACTCAGACGACTCTGACGACTCAGACGACTCAGACGACTCAGACGACGACGACGACGACGACGACGACGACGACGACGACGACGACGACGACGACGACGACGACGGCCACGACGACGACGACGACCACGCCGCCGACGATGACGACCTACGGCGACTGCGGCGTGGCGGCCGAGGCCGCGGCCGCCGCGGTTTTCTCCTGGGGCGCGCGCGCGGGGAGAGTGGCTCTTCGTCTTCCACCTCCTCCTCCTCCTCCCTCCTCCTCCTCCACCTCCTCCACCTTTTCCTCCTCCTGACCCTCCTCACTCCCCCAATAATGATCGTCCACCTCAGCATTACCACCACCCGCTACCATCATAATCGTCTTCGTAGTCGTTGTCGTCATCATCATCATCATCATCATCATCATCATCAGCAGCATCATCATCCAACCATCCAACCAAGCAACCAACCAACCAACCGACCGACCGACCGACCAACCGGCCCACCATCCAACCTCATCAGCATCATCAAAATCAGAATCATCAGCATCAGCATCAGCATCAGCACCAGCACCAGCATCATCATCATCATCATCATCATCATCATCATCATCATCATCATCATCATCATCATCATCATCATCATCATCATCATCATCATCATCATCGTCGTCGTTGTCATCGTCAGCATCATCATCATCATAATCAGCATCATCAGCATCCTCATCATCTGCATCACCATCAGCATCATTAGAAGGATTGTCAGTATCGGCATGCTCATCCGCATCATCAGCAATGAACCCTCATCATCATCATCATCATCATCAACAACAACAGCATCATCATCATCAGCAGCAGCATCATGGTCATCACCATCGCCAGCATCATCATCAGCAGCTTCATCATCTTCACTAGCATAATCAGCATCAGCATCCTCATCCTCATGCTCATCCTCATCGTCGTCGGCGTCGTCATCACCCTCCTCATCAGCATCATCACATCACCATCACCCGCATCATCTTGACCATCGCCATCGTCATCCTCAGCATCAGCATCATTATCGCCATCAACATCAGATTCGCGATCATCCCCAAATTTATCATCATAATCGTCGTCGGCGGCGGCGACGTCGATATAACATCCACCGCCATCATCATAATCATCATCATCATCATCATCATCATCATCATCATCATCATCATCATCATCAACATCACCATCATCAATAGCATCATCACCATAATTAGACTCAGCAGCATCATAATCATCAGCATCAGCGTCATCACAATCAGCATCACCATCATCACCACCACCATCATCAGCAGCATCGCCATCGTCACCACAATGATCATCATCGCCATAATCATCGGCAACAACCTTATCATCCCAAATATGCGCATCACGGTGTCTGGTCGCTCATCCTCATCATCAGCAGCAGAATCAACACCACCACAACAACCGTCACCATGATCAGCAGCATCATCATCGCCGACGTCATGAAAGGCATCGCCCCCGTCATCGTCACCATCGTCGACGTCATCGTCATCGCCAAAATCATCGTAAGCCAAATGATCACCATCAGCAGCACTACCATCATACGCAGCATCACCACCAGCAACTCCACACTCGCCAACATATACAATCGCTCGGCAATAGATCGCAATCGGTATCACCGAGGTCGTCATCAACGTCGTCGTCTTTTTTGTCATGATTGCCATCATCAAGTGCAGCATCATCATTGTTCTCGTTATCTGCATCAGCGGAA